GAGAGAAAAATAAATAAAACAAGATGAAACCAGAGAGGGAGGCAAACCATAAGAGACTCTTAACTATAGGAAACAAATGGAGGGTTGCTGGAGGGGAGGGGTGTGGGGGGATGGGGTAACTGGGTGATGGGCATTAAGTAAGGCACGTGATGTAATGAGCACTGAGTGTTATATGCAACTGATGAATCACTGAATTATACCTCTGAAACTAATGATACGCTATATGTCAATTGAATTTAAAAAAATATATAATTTAAAAAAAAGTAGAGGCAAATAAAGTCACTTTCTGACAAGAGTTTTACCCTCAAAAGACTTTTGTCAAGGGATCCTAATGATATACTTGAAGCAAGAGTAAAATCATCAGACAAATGAAAAGGACCTAAAAAGAAATGATTATCTGCATGGGCAAACATATATACATATACACTTATCTGTAGTTTAACTCAACAGTAATAGCTAATCTATCACACAAAACTAACATGCAAATTAACTGAGGGTGATTGTGTTATTCTTAGGCTCAAAATAAGGGATATTGCTTATTTTTGTCCCTTTTATGTACATGCATATTAAATTTCCTTTTTGAGTGTGTACAAGTTAACTTTCTTTTCTAAGATCAGAAAGGGAATAGGTCTTCCAGGTTAGGAAAAAAGTGACATGAAAGATTAAAAAAACTATCCAAAAGAATTTAAGTAAGAAAACAATACAGAAAAGGAACAAAGAGCAGAAGAGGGTATGGAAAGGGAGATGAACATGGTAAAAAAAAAAAAAAAAAGCATAAACTATTTTACAGTGGCTATGAAGGCAAAGATTATCAGAATTGTTTTAAAAAGCATTTGCATGCTACTTACAATAGCTATGCGTAAAACATAAGGAAATAAAAAGGCACGAAATAGTATGAATTGTGAGGATATGTGAGTAGTTGCACACATCAACATATATAAATCTATGAAACAGAGAGGAAAAAAGCCCCAGAAGAATGCATGGAAGATGCCACCATTGACACGAAGTTCAAAACGATATAAAACCAAATAATACATGAATTAAGAAGACCTATATGGTGAAATTACAATGAAAAGAAAAAAAGATAAGTCCGAAATTCACAACAGTGCTAACCACAGCACAGTGGGAGAAGAGGACATAAAATTTAGCAGGGATGCGTGGAAGCTTTAAAGTTACAAGCAGTATTTCTAGCTTAGTCTCATTAGCAGGCAAGTGGGTACTTGTTTTACTCCTATGACGAAGCCTTTTTTATATATTTAACATTTTATAAAAATAAGAATTTGAATAAGTATTGATAACTTCAAAATATTGGTCTTGACTTTTTTCTCCAGATCACATGGATACCAATGAATATGTTGATCTCGTTGCTTGCCACAACCTTTTCTATTTGTCTCTTTACACGTGTGGTCCATGGCACAACATATGTCAGTTCCAAAATTAAACTCTTCCACCAGCTTTGTGTTTAAGCCCAGAAATGGAGAAAAATTAGATTCCAAACAGGACACTGATCAAAGGGAATAACGAACCACAAAGGCTGTTCACTTGCTTTGCAGTAAACATACATTTTACTGCATTTTTCTAAAGTGATTTTTTTGAAGTTATTAACTTTCAGACCTAGTTCCAAAACCTCCTTAGAAATTTAACAAAAAGATGTTAGCAAGAAAATAGGTCTTGTAAACTTCAAAATGTACATGTTAACTGCAAGTAAAGGAAAATAATGCCTAAGATCACAACACGTGGGACCGGATAGACTGGATTTTCTGAGACAGAAATCGTCCCTTTGACAGCTGCATCAAATTGAGAAAATGAAGATGTATTCTGTAACTAATTTGCTATATACATAGATGAGTATGGACGAAAATGCTAGATATCAATCATAATAATGTTAGTGTCTACTCTTTTACGTTTCCACCTCAAAGTGTTCAATAGCTCAAACATAATTGTTGCCCATGTCAAGATCCATTAAAAGTTGTAAGTGGCAACTTGAAGAAGTTGGTCTTTTCTTGTGTTCCAAAAGTAAAGCAACTATGTCTTTTAGCTTAAAACGTTCACCAAGAATACTGAATAATCAATAAAACTTCAAAAGAATTCTGTGATCTTCAAATCAACTCTTCATAAAAGGTGGCAAATAACATGGTATTTAAGGCACCGGTTTTCATATAATTCACTGCTGTCTGGATGATAAAAGGTTGATGTGGCTCATAATTGGTAGGCAGAGTTTCAGAAATGGATAAATGGCTCTAAAAGTATTGCATATCCGGGAGGGGGTGGAGTAGAGGGAGGTTTCCGTCTTGTTCCTTGATTTTTGATTTAAATAAAGCCCAATCCCAAACCAGCATGGGAGAATCATCATTAATCAGTTCACATGTTTCACTCTCACCTCTATTCGCAGAAATTGAAGAATTTTAACACTGATTTACTACAGGTCTAACAAGGGTCTCAAAAGCTGACAAAGAGTCTAATTCTTTTTCTCTTGAAACTGAGTCATATACTATACATTAAAAATACAGGTATATGAAAAAAATACATGTATACGAAAAACTGACTTTAACAATAGCAGACATAAAACTAATAGCCAAGTCCAAAGATTTGAACATAGGCAGAATTTCAACTTTTACACATCCAGGAAAGTCATTCCTCAAATTGAAGCACTGCACACAGAGATATTCTTGAGTCTCCTCTCGTCTCTCTACATCAGGTGCCACAGTTTCAGAAAAACCTCTCCAATGGTAAGATTTCTATCATTTTCGATTAAAAAGACTTTTATAGGAAGCATCCACAGCTTGTAGATTCCTGCTAATATATTCTAGAATTGGCCTTTCTTGGAAAAATAATTCCACATTTTTTTTTAAAATAAGGTTCAAGTGAAAGAGACAAAGCATTATTTCCCAGTAGTTTAAGGCGAAACCACATAAAATTGTATCCACTGGAATATACATGAATTCGTACATAAAACCCTTTCACAGTTTTTCTTTTGCTACCATTTTCATCTAATCAAATTATGAAGATAAAGGGAAGGGTCTACTTCTAATTAAATTGAAAAGCCATGAATAAATCCATTGCTCAATGGCTGCCAGATAAACTAAGACATGAGTGCATCTTCCCATTCAACTCCAAACACCCTCTTCCTACTTTTAAACTCCTTAAGGGCCTGGGTCCGCTTTGCTATTTACCCAAACCCCACATCTAAGACAGTGCTTGGTAAATATCAGGTACTCAGTAATTATTTTTTAAATGAATATATTAAAGAGGTACAGATTAAACTGGAAACCAGAGCTCTTCACGTATGATTATACCTTTCAAATTCCCACTTCAACTTAGTCTCTAGTAAGGGCCAAGGTAAAACCGAAGGAGACTAAAATTAAACCATGTTTCAATCAACAGATCTTCACTGAGGATTTTTTATGTGCTGTGCACTGTGCCTGGTAAAGAGAAGTACATAAGACATACGAAGTCCCTGGCCTCCTGCCCATCACACTTCCATCTAAAGAACAGTCTGGAAGTGGGGAAAAATGGAAAAACAAAGATAAAGTTGAAATATACTTTGTTCACTCTTCATACTCCTCAGTTAAACCTCACTCGCTTTCATGTCTCAGCAGGTAGGGTCTTCTTGTTTTAAATAGTTGTTACTGCCAAGGATTTTTTCATACTGTAGCCAAACTTCAGAAGTGTCCAGAAAAGTACTAATCAGAGAGGATATCAAAAAGATTCTATATTATTAACTTCCACAGTCATTTTAGCCCTAATATGTATTTATATCTAAGTAAATATACATGTAATACAGATATATTCTCATGCAAAAACAAGCATTCATTTATTATACAAAAGAAGCCAAAACTGATCTACCTTAGAGCCTTGCAGCTCTGAAATCCTGATTTTATGACTGCTCATTTTTTTAACAATTTCTGCCTTGTTTTTTTCAAGAATATCCTGAGCTTAAAAGTCTAAAACCTGATTTATAGAGACATCTGTATTAGTGTTGCCAGATCCAAGACACCTAGTTAAATTTGGATTTCAGATGAACAACAAAAATTTTTAGTGTTAATATGTCTGAACTCCAGATTTTACTGGGCATCTTCTATTTTTACTTGCTAAATCTGGCAATATTAACCTATGTGCTCCTATAAAGATATTATTTCCAATAAAGGAAAAGTTAATTAATGGTATTTCTTTCTATGTCAAACAAAATTTCAGCCAGTATACAATACCAAAATTCAGAGTGAAACTCATTTTTTTATTGTTATGTTAATCACCATACATTACATCATTAGTTTTTGATGTAGTGTTCCATGATTGATTGTGCATAACACCCAGTGCTCCATGTAGTACGTGCCCTCTTTAATACCCATCACCAGGCTAACCCATCCTCCTACCCCCCACCCCTCTAGAACCCTCAGTTTGTTTCTCAGAGTCCACAGTCTCTCATGGTTTGTCTCCCCCTCCGATTTCCCCCCTTCATTCTTCCCTTCCTGCTATTTTTTTTTTTTAACTCCGTTTCTAATCATGATTGTTCTTTTAAAAAACACCATAAATTTAAAAGAAAAAATTTTTAAGATGGGGGGGTAGAGCGTGCACGTGAGTGGGCAGAGCAACAGAAAGAGAAGGAGAGAGAAAATCTCAAGCTAACTCCCGGCTGAGCAGAGAGCCCAACGTGGGGCTCCGTCTCACAACCCATGAGATCTTGACCTAAGCCGAAATCACAAGTCAGACGCTTAACCAACTGAGCCACCCAGGAACCCCAGTTTTTTTAAATTTTAAGAAAAAAATAAAAATTTTTAAGTCCATAGGGTATGTATCACTTGGTAATAAATACAAAAAGTACTGACACTATATTTCATCATGCATATAAATATTACATGTTCACTTTTTATCTTGAGACGATCGTTGATGTATATACCACCTATTTGCAGGTGCTATGAAGTATTAAATAAAAGTAACAGATTAATGACATCTGTTTAATTTACCAACATGCCCCAATGATGTTCAGACAGATGAATTACCTCACAGGATTACTAGTCAAAGACACGCGGAGGGACTCCAGACATGTGACAAGTCTCTCATCTGCACACCCCATTTTCAGTTCATGGATGAATTCCTGAGGTGAGATCTGTCGCCTACTCTTAAGACTTCCCTGTAAATTAAAGAAAATAAATTGATCTTCATTAAAGTAATATCAATTACATTAATCCCCCCTTTCATATTAGCAGCTACACATGACTACACTAAGCAGTATTATTTTGAGGTAATGATTTCCTTCCGCCCACAAATACAAAGCATAATCCAGGATATTCACGAAAGATAAAAACATCAAAAAGGTTTGCAAATTAAAAGGGCTTTTTCCAAATCCCAAATATCATGGAAAACAATCAAGTATTTACTACAGAAATATCTGAAAATATAGTCCTCTATTTTAGGCCCATGCAAAATAAAAAGCAAACCTCAATACAGGAACAACTCTCTTAAAATTAGTATTCCAAGTGCCACAAAAAACGGCTGTAAGTCATTAATTGACCCAACTACCGTCAAGTGCCCAGTTCTAAGCACAGGATACACAGAGATTATCAAAACCCAAGTCTGGCAAGACAAATGCACGCAAGGAAATAACACTTCTCAGCGCAGTCTAATTCCTATAACGGGCTACCAAGGCACTCAGAGGAGGAAGCCCTAGCTTGCTGGAGCAGATGAGGGAAGCCTGAGGAACAGGGAAAAGGGAAGTCTGTTCAGGAGACTAAGAATTAGGAACTCCTTCCAGACTACCACATGGCATCCATGTACAGCCACAAAGAAAACCAGAAGCACTTACAACAGAATGAGGATAGCAGCCAGATCATGAAGGCACAGAGCACCGCTCTGCAATTAGATTTTCCAGGTCAGTTTTGGAAGGCTCACTCTGGCACGTTGTAAGAGTTGGAGTTCGCTCATTATGCAATATTTAGTACCTGCTAAGTGCCAGACACTGTTTTTTTTTTTTTTTTTTAAGATTTTATTTATTCGAGACACAGAGATACACAGAGAGAGAGAGAGAGAGAGAGAGCATGAGCAGGGAGAGAGGCAGAGGGAGAGGGAGAAAAAACAGGCTCCCCACTGAGCAGGGAGCCCGATGCGGGGCTCGATCCCAGGACCCTGGGAGACGCTTAACGACTGAGCCACCCAGGCGCCCCATCCAGACACTGTTCTAAGTGTTACACAGAGAACAGTACACAAGGGACAAAAAATCCCTAGATGCATGGAGCTTTCTTCTCCATGGAGAAAAAGAAAGCCAGGCAGACAATAAATGAAATAAGCAGGTAAACAGTTGCTTTGTGGCTAGTAAAAAGTGCTCCAGAGAAACAAAGCAGAGAAGAGGATTAAGGAGCCCAGGAGGTGGTTGGCAATTTCAAACAGGGTGCTCACAGAAAGACTCACAGAAGAATCTGAAGGCCTCAGACTTGAGTATTAGAATAAAGGTCTGAAGGAGATTGAAGCAAGCATACTGGTAACTGAAAAGTTGTGATGGAAGGGACTGTACCCTCACAGGCCACCAAAGGAACTCTGACTTTTACTCTCAAATCAGAAACATGAGAAGACCTATTAAGAAGACACATAGTCCAGATAGAAAATGATGAGCATGATGAACAATAAAGTCCAGAACTGTATCTGTGTCAGTTACAGATTATACATCCAAGGGGAAGGAATTAATACATGTTCAAAAGCAGGTTAGTAGGGATGGCAGGAAATCAGATGCATTTTTTTTCATTTATTATTAAATTTGCCATAATATTGTCCAAGGAAACATTCCCAATAATGCAAAATAAATTAGCACTGTAAAGACGGATGGTTTTCATCAATTGCAAAGTGGTAATTTACTAAAGAATATTCTGAGATTTTGCTCGTAAAACTAAGAAAATAAAGTGGAAAGGGGAAATGAAATGGTGAGAACAGTGAAAATAAGCACTTAAAAAAATCAGTGACTGTTATGTATCATTAAAGAGAATACATTTAACTTGTACTGACATAGCATTTATCAGTAAATTTTTCTGCTTTAAATTACTAAAGTATTGCCTGTTCAACACAGAAAATTTGGAAAACAGAAAATAGGGGGAGAAAAGTGCCTCAAAATGATTATTAATGTGATATTTCTCCTTGAAGTTTTTTCCTCATGTAATATGTACATAATATCCCATATATATTCATAAACACCTGTACTTTACTTTCAAAAACATTAGAGCATATTGTTTGGTAAGCTACTTTTATTTTTAGTCATGTTTCATAAACATATCCCAGTATCTTAAATGAAATTTTTTTTTTTCCTGTCTACAGGCTATTAACATACCTAATTACTTACCTAATTTAGACCCATATCATTGGGCATGTAGGTTGCCTAGCACAATTTCTTGGTATCTTAATTTTTCAAGTTTCCTGTCAGGCCATATTGTCAGGCCAATATTTTATCCAAATATATACCAATAGAAGTTAAACCAGATGATCTTTTTGTAGTACTTGATATTTATAGTACTTGATTCAGTACTCTGAATTTATCACTGAAATAATCATGATGGGGGAGAAGGGTTCAAAATAAACCAAAACTGAACAGATCAACTGGTTCCCTTCAACAATAAATGGGTAAGACCATATAGTCAATACTTTCAAAATATAAGAATAAAAAGCAGTAAATGCATTTGAATAAAAATAAAATTAAAACAACAAAAAAAAAGCAGTTACCTCCCCCACCACTTAACCCTATCTTTCAGAGGCAATCATTTTCATTCCCTTAACTGTTTCTTCTGATAGCTACTTAATATGTCTAAACAGCATGATTACTCTGATCTCTCTAAACCAGTAAGTTTTCAGTATTACCTTTGACTTCTATTATGAAAGATGACGACTTAGTTATCTTAAAACATTGGAATTTGTACTCTTCCACCATCTGACTATAGTGAAAGGTAAACTCAATTGAGACAAAAGAGGTCAATTCCACGAAATGGAAGTTCTAGGAGATCCAGAGATTTTTGGATAACTGAACTTAGTAGTTCTTTAGTTTGTTTCATGACACAAAATAAAACATCATATACCCCCGTTCATAAAAAGTCTTCCAGCTACCTTAATTCCCATGTTCGTCACACCAACACGTTGGTCCCCCTAAAAGTGAGAACACAAGAAGCATGTTGGCTCTTACCATTCCTATTCAGTATTGTACTGGAGATACTAGCTAGTGTGGTAAGGCAACAAAAGACAGATTAGGAAAGTAGTAGTAAAACTGTCTATTTGCAAATGAAATGGTCTACATGAATTTAGCAAGATCACAGAATAAAAGCTCAACCTCTAATTTTTTTTTTATTTCTAAATACTACTCACAGTGGGGAAATAAAAATTTACTACTTATTTTTAATAGCATCAGAAGAGCCCTCACAAAATAATCAGGAAAATTTTTAACAAAAGAAGAGAAATACTTCTATTCTGAGAAGTACAAAACATTGTGAGGAGGTACTGAAGGTCGTGACCTAAATAAATGATGCTATGCCAGGCTCATGGATCAGAAAACTCGATATTATTAAGACATTGTTAAGAAATACATTTTCTGAAGAACGAACTATATATTCAATATAATCACCATCAAAATCCCAGCAAGTTTTGCAGAAATTGAGAAGCAGCTTCTAAAATCTATATGGAAATGCTGGAACCCTAAAATAGAATAATTTAAAAGAATAAAGCTGGGGGGGTTTCATCTGATTTCAAGATTTAGTATAAAGCTACTGTAATCAAGTTAGAATAGTATCAGTAGAACAGTCGAGAAATACACTTGCACCTATGGGGTCAATGATTTTCAACAACAGTGTTAATGGATTTCAATGGGGCAAGAACCTCCTCAACAAACAGTGTTGGAAGAACTGGACATCCAAATGAGAGAAAGTGAACCTAGACCTTAGACCTAAATGTACAAGCTAAAATTTAATGTCTACAAGAAAACACAGATGAAAATCTTCACTACCTTCAGGAAGGCAAAGATTTCTTAGGACAAAAGGCACTAACTACAAAATTGATAAATTAGACTTCATCAAAATTTAAACCTTCCATTTTGCAAACAACTCTTAAGATAGTTTTATTAAGACCATGAAAAGCAAGCCACAGACTAGGAGAAAAATATCTGCAATACAAGCTAAGACGTGTGCAGTCCGAGACTTTACCCTACATAACAAGCTACGTGAGTCTGTTACTGGTTTGTAAGTGCTGGTAGAAAACATACTTAGTTAGGGACAAAGGACTCTATTATGCCTCTACTCGTTCCCCAACCCACCAAGTCCCCCACCGGCTCCCTGACGGATGCCTGCGCATGCAGTGGATTGCATTATAGGACACTAAGCTTGGGGGACTCACCAATTTTATAATGAATAAAAACAAGCCTGCTCACGGTCTACAGGGAGACCTAACCACCTCTCAAGGCAGCTCACTGCAAACACAAGACTTGAGAAATGGTTTGGGTAAGGAGAAGTCAGGCCTTGCATTCTTGGGGTAACCAGAATAAATTATACAGGGATACTCAGGGCCCATAGCAGACTGCCTCTCCGAACAACAAATGTATCTCATAAAGATCTGTATTCAGAACATTTAATGAAGGCCTACAACTCAGCAGAAATAAAACAGTCCAATTAAAAAATGATCAAAAGATTTTACCAAAGAAGATATATGAATGGCCAATAATCACAAGAAATGACATTCAAGATCATTTGTCACCAGGGAAATGCAGTTTAAAACCAGGGAGGAAAAAACACAAATGGGATATCACTACACACCCCCTAGAATATGGAGGATGTAAAGCACCTAAAACTCACTCACAATACTGGTAGAATGTAAAATGGTATCATCACTTTGACAAAAAGTCTGGCAGTTTCCTTTAAATAGACACACAACAGGGGCGCCTGGGTGTCTCATTCGTTGGGAGTCTGCCTTCGGCTCAGGTCATGATCCCAGAGCCCTGGGATCGAGCCCCACATCGGGCTCCCTGCTCGGCGGGAAGCCTGCTTCTCCCAGTCCCACTCCCCCCTGCTTGTGTTCCCCCTCTCGCTGTGTCTCTGTCAAATAAATAAAATCTTTAAAAATAAAAAAACAATAGACAGACACAGAACAGCGGATTCAACAATTGCACAGCTAGGT